AATTATGGAGGATGTTTACCGTATAATTGATTTATTTTTGATAAGTAGGTACTGTATTTTGTGCGATTTAGGTTATAATGCCTACATACATCTCTGATCACAGCTTGGCGTGTTCCGTGCTCGTATTTAGATTTTTATAGTATTTTTAATGATAAGACGATCTAAAAGCACAATTATGACGTAGACGAAGTTTTTATTAATTAATCAGAGAAGGTGTTAGGCCTGTCTTTGTGAGAAACAACATAGGTACCTAACAATAGGCGTCTGAGAATTTAAGTCAAGTAAGCGAATATGAGTCGAATGTGAGATGTGACCAAACGTCCCGTTTTGAACGTGACAGTTCCGTTTTTAGTACACTTTCACCTTAAAAAAATAAAATGTTCACACTTTGGCGCTCTTGATATGTCTACCTGTCTGTCTGTTTGTTATTTTATTTTTGTATTCTCATTAAGGCATGAAATGTCCATAAGGGCTGTTAAAATCGAAAAAACAAATTTGAAAATGCACTCTTCGCCTTTGCTCACATGCGGATTAATGATTTTTTTCCTTATATATGCTGGTTGTCCACGACAATCACAACAGGGTTTTATTTCTAGAAAACATGGTTTTGCCTCAAACCATGGCTCTACAAAATTGTTTCTCGTCTTGGTCCATTATTTTTGACCACAGAAGGACGCGCAAATTCAAATCTTGGTGTTTGGATCCCAATCGGATATAATCGTTGAATATTGTAAGGAAGTATATTAACATTAAATGATTTAAAATCAAAAGTTGTGGGGTTTTTGTGGAGACAACGCTAACTGTAGGTAATTTTGGTGGCAAAAATAGTAAAAGGTGTCAACAAAGCCTTTGCAATGGAGGTCGTCCCTGAAATAAAAACAAAACTTATAGGGATTGTTGATTTGAGTTCACCATTGTTAAAATTGACTTATTTTTTTAACATTTATAGTGTTCGCATTGAAAAATACTCAAAGAGTTCTACGGCTTAGGTGATAGAAAGTATCAAAAACTGTTGGGTTACATTAAAACAAGGAGCCTAGCATTGATGTCTGCATTCGAAAGAGTTTTCAAACTATTGTTATGTGAAAACACTAGGTACTTTTTGAGTATCTCAATGTCTGAATATTTTGAAGTAATTGTTTGAAAATTTCAGCTCCTAAATTTGGTTGTTTTTCCCACACGCGCAGCCCTGTTAAAGATGGAGGCACAAAGCATATCTGCAATTGCGGCTGTTAAATTAATCGCCCAAGGCTCTAAAGGAAAATTTCGCTGTGCCTATGAGACAAAAAGTTATTTTTTCTTCTCCGTTCCACTGGTAATTTATTGACGAAACTTTAAAAAAATTTGTGGTCAGTTCAAATACAAGTTAGAAGCGTGTAAATGGGGGATTCTCATAAGTGCAATTTACGTTATGTGATTTTGATTACGATTTCTCTTGCGACTTGCGAGTTGCCATAACCAAATATTTCAAGATTCACATTATACGATTTTGTCGTACGACTTGTAAAATTGTATCTTGACGTGCGATTATGGGTTCGACCTCGACCAAAACTGTAGAAGAAGATAGGCAAAACTAAAAATTACCACGTTAGTAAACCACGCGTGGGGATGGCGCCCAGATGTCGCCGTCCCCACATCATGTAGCCCCGTCCCTAAAGTTGTTAATTACACGACCTCGTATGGACACGTACACTCTTCGTCTTTCTACATGCGATTGTCTACAGGCCCTCATTTGCTGCCAGCCAGTCAGCCGGCCAAAGTGATATGAAAAGCTTCTATAAGAACAAATGAAGATGCAATTAGAGTTTTGACATCGATCCTACTTTGCAAAAATGAGCTAAAAACTACCGTAGGCCTATGTCTGGTCCAGAATTGCGGTTAAAATTCGAATTTTCAAAAACAATTTTGGTTTCGTTATTTTTCTCTTAAAGAGACGCAGATACCAAATTTCTGTGAGATCGAAAATGTCGCATTCCAGTTGAGACCCTATATTGGGGAAGTACCGCACTAGACGTTACAATTTCCACTATATGTACGTGGAACCATTCTGTTCTTGGTATATAAAAATGAATTTCAAAGGCTGCATGATAATGCGGAACAAAATAGTGAAGAAAGTACTTCGATATATTTTGAGATAGTAGTAAATCCGTACGGGCTGTCAAAAAGCGCGGGGTGGCTATATTGCGATTACCGTTTTTGGACGTATCAAAATTTCATCAATCGTCAACGTTTTAGATCATTTTAAGCAACTTTTAAAGAATACAAATTTTTACTCTCTCTTTTAACGCGTATGTACCTATGTACGTACATAGGTTGGCAGATTAGGCATAAAGGATGTAAACGTCATACTATTTTTTTTAAATAGCAATAACGCAAAATTTTTATTAAATTATTCGGAAGACTTTCTTTTTCTGTGTACAACCTATACAAATTATGCTAGGTTTTATTACAAATAAACTTTTTTTCAAATACATACTAGCGCTAAATTTTTTATTTAGTTATTTGAAAGAGATTATTTTTCTTGGTTTAACCTACACAAATTTGGTTTTATTACAAAAAAATATATATGAAATTCTCCGAAATACAGCAGCTTAGTGCGCGGTTACTAAATACTTAGGATTTGAAAAGAATATTTAAAATTCATTGTCGGGGCATATTGAAGGACTCTTCAGGCTACAACCTAAAAATATTTTCAACGAAATTGCAATTGTTATACAGAGTGATTTAAATCAAAGTTGCACTTTTTTTAAATATAACTCCCTGTTTTATAATTAGAATAGGTGTTTTAACTTTTAACGGCCTATTAATTACTGAGAGGCTTTAAAAATCGACAAACCTTGTGTATTATTAGAAATGGTTGAATTACAAAAATATGTATAAAAGGTAAATACGGCGTGCTTATATCGTTAGAAAGGTAATCAAATACTACATTTGATGCAATAAAAAACTTGGTAGTTTCATTAAACAAAATCAAGATATCTTTGATTGAAATTTTGAAAATTTACAGTGATTTCTTTTAGCACAAAAAAAGTTCGGCGTGTGTAGGTAAGCACACGTGATGATCAGTAATACTGCAGCGTCATGGCCTTCTAAGTTTTATGGAATCTTCGTTTTCAATTTTTACTGGACATTTATTTTTTGAAAATGACTCAGCCACTCATTTTAGATATCATGTGTAAATAAAGTCACACTAAAATTGACTAAGTAATCGAAATATGCAATAATATAGGTGAGTTCTATTTAAAAAAATACAACTTTGATATAAATCACCCTGTATACATCATCGAGATTTTGTTTGATTCGGATTCCTGGTGCCTCAAAACATGTATTTGATGTATTCCCGTCAAAAAAGGGAGGGATCATTTTTTACCCCACTGCAATACCTCCCTGACTGACATGCGGGTAGTAAAATTAAGTTAAAATAAACAAACAGATAACGAGTGAAGTTTTCGAGTAGTTGTAAAAAGCTGTTCTGCAAGAATTTTACACCTGGTTTCAATTTCATTTGGCGATGCCTTGAATGAACGTATAGACATATCAAAACTTTCGATTGATAGTAGTTGATTACAGAATTTTAATTTTCAGGCTGAAACTGAAACTACCATTCTATAGAAAGAAATTGATTTTGGATTTTATTAATTTAAATTAAAGGAGAGAGAACGGTCACAGATACGCCCACACAAGGTCGTAATTGAACACAAACACACAATACAAAGACCCACTGTTTTAATTACGAAGAAAAAATTCATATCATATTGCTTTTCAGCACCATCAATAGTAAAAACCTTCTATGCCATCGTTATACAGACTCCTGCTGATTATTTTAAGCTGAGACCCAAACTAAAACGATTTAATAAAATTCATATAGGTGCGCTAGCAACCGGAACGTTTGTTGTGTTTCCACAATCGCCTATCTCATGATCCATCTGTAGTATATTTAAATCTGTGGTTGTAGTAGTTATTTGTTATTTATTCAGACGTTTGATAAATTGTTTTATCCATAAGGCAATCAGTAGATGGCGGATGAATACGTTGGATTGACGAAGTAGGAGGCTGCGGTTTATTTTATTATTATTATTTTTTTTTTTCATATAAAAAAAATATAAAAAAATTAAATAAAAAATAAAAAAATCAAATCAAAAATAAATAAACAAATTTTGATGCCCCTCCGATAAAATACATTGAGCTTTACTTCCCAACCTTGCTGTGCACGTATATGCACGTGCTGGGTGCTGCAAATCAATCTGCTGATGACGTATATATACGCGCGACGATTTCTCTCAGTGCGACGTACGTAAATATACGTTTTGTACAATTTTAATTCAGCACAGGCTGTTTACACTCGAATTTTTAATTTAGCAGCGAAAAGGTTAAAAGCTCTCCATCTTAAAATTTTAATAAGCCTTTTGAACATAGTTGTTAGCTTAATCGATGTTTTAATTGCATCTACTAACAAATGTCGCATCACAGTTAGTAATAATCCTCTAAAATGCAAACAAAGTACCTTTTCTTGCGAGACGACTTTTATCGTGTTATAATGCTCTCGTCCCAAGAAAAGCTTTTAATATTCAAGAATATCAAAGGAAATTCAAATTCGTAGTAGAAACTCCCCATAATAAGGAGATACTTAGCAATAATTAAGCTTTTATGAAACTGAACCAAATGTGTACTTAGAGGCGAATTTAGAAATGATTTTGAAATGTCTATCAAAATAGTACAGAAGTATAGTATCAAATAAATGGAACTTGCCAATAAGAAAAGGACGAAGCACTAAAAAAAACAAAAATTTTCAAGGAAAGCAATATTACATGACAACATTGAAGCGAATGGGGATAAAAGTTAAAGAGAAAAAGGATTTTTGATATGACTCAATCCCTTTGTAACAGGCATAATATATACAGTACTCACTTCAAACTTTTCAAATAGAATTAATGAGTTAACAAAACTTTAATTCATTCCATTAGTATATAAAAGCTCTCTCTCAGAATGTGTTAACTTACCGATTTTTTTCTGGGTGGACTACAATTCGTGACGACTCTGAAAATAAAGACAAATCTAATTAATAGTGAGTAAGAAAGAAGCGCAAAGGACTGAAAATCGAATCTTCCAATTTCTTAAATGGTTTCACTTAATTACTGCAAGAAAAGTAATGCCTTTGTCAGAAGTTGCGCGCAAAAAATCACATAAATCTTAAGGGCAAATGTAATAAAACGATTAGTCAGCGTTCCTGTACAAATTGGGTTGACAGTTTGCGAGCTGTAATAACTTTTCGCGAAACACGTTAAAACACGAGTCTTTATTAAATTTGTATTTATAATTTCTGGTTTGATTTAAGTAATTTGCATGAGGGGAACGAACGTATGCTAATGCATCTGCCCCGTCTTCAATTGCCATAGGCACTTTCGCATTGTAGATGCTTAATAGAAGTGCTGATAGGTCAACATAAAATTGTAGCAATCCTGAGAAGGAAATTAAAAGAATGAAGTATAAGATTTCAATTAAATCTGGTCGACTGGGAATGGATGCCAGAAGACCAATTTACGTTAATTACTGAGAAACATAAGAAACATGATCAAAGAACAATCTAAAAAATTATCGGATTCCTAAAAAAATTTTTTATTCTGTGAAGCCAGTGCTAATGAGGTGCGCAAAACCAAACAAGAACAAACGGTAGCCAGATGTAGCAGACGACGCTACCGCATAATTTTTTGCAAAGCCACTTGATCTATTCCTACAACTTATTTCAAACTATCGTACCACTCTTCAAGGTTAAAACTAACCAAATTAAGGGAAACAAACCATATATCAGTAAAAATGTGTGGATGTTGGTAGTGGCTGAACAACAAATCCAAAGGTATCACAATCTAGCACGAACATAGCACAATTTTTCAGCACAAAAACTTTACACTGAATACAGGAACACGAAATTTTTATCATCAGACGTAAGATATACGTATATTTTAGGCCTTTTTGCCTTTTTCTGATCAAAATAATATATCAAATTCTTGGTGTTGGTATTAAGAAAATATAATCCGCGCCCGTGTGACAGTTTAATCTTCTCAAGCACATTTAAATTATAATTAGTTGAATATTATTGTCACTTTTGATTGAGGACCACTGTTATCGCAACTGGTTTAGGTCGTCTTATCCATTTTTGAAAAATACAATTGTCGGTTTAATTGCAAAATCAGGCGATTAACCACATTTGGTGTGATCTCGAATTGGTTTGGATTTTCTCTCATGTTGGAGGCTATAATTTGAATTTAAAGTGGATGCAGACGTAAGTAACTACGGACATCTCATCATGTTTAATATACTTCTTCGTAAAAGAACTGCGCTTTATAAGTCAAATAAACTAGAACCCCCTTATTTCAGACTTTACTTAAATAATACCTATCAATTATGTCACAAAGATTAAAAAAAAAATGTATACAGGGTAAATTCACACCGAAGTTGTCAGTCTTGAGGAGACGCAACGGTCTTTAAGAGAGGAGCAGTGTTGCGAACATAAATAAGCAACAAATTGCATTTCAGTACAGTTCCAACTTCGATGTGCTGGTGTTGTAAGCGATAAATAATAATTACTGTTATAAATTAATTCATTTTAAGACTGCTATAAATGTATCGTTAGTTATTGTAAATAAATAAAATTAAATTTACGTTACAATATGTTGTTTTAAAAATATATTGTTCCAGACAAAATTTCCACCCTGTATTCTGATTCCTGTGATCCTGATATATCAATTTTTCAAAGAAAATGTACCTATATCAATGATGTTGTTTGATTTCTGTAATCCTGGTACAACAATATTGTTAAAAAATCGTATTGCTTTTCTGTTATTTTGAATTTTCCGGACATATGTATAAGAGAACATGATACGTGAGTGGGATTCTATTTTATTTTTAAAAAATGCGTGTCAAGGAAACAATATTCAAGAAGGCATCTATCAATAAATGGACATCTTGCGCTTCTAAAATTGTGATGCATCAATCGGAGGGAAACCGGTGATAGGATTATTGAATTGTATTGATCCTGGTATAATAATGTTTAAATAGAAATTCGTATCGGGGGGAAAAAGTTGTACTCATTTTTGCTTTTCTGTAATGCTGAATTTTTCAAGAGAATATAATACGCGAGAGCATCTTGCTTTATTTAGAGAAATTCGTCTCAAAGGAACATAACGTGTAAGAAGAGCAATCAATGTCAATCTTCTAGCGTTCTTCTTTTAATCCGACATCGAGGCGCCATCAAGTTGATAAACGATTACGGCAATCAGGAATGAACGCATTCTTTTCGTGAAATATAATACGTTCAAACATCGCTGCCGAAGTGATAAATAATGCGCGCTCGTGTTATATAGTTACATGTAATAAATTTGAATAATGCTGAATAATTAAAAATCAATCAATCAAGGACGAAATTCATTAACAATTAATTGTACATAAGTAAATCGCGTAATTAAACTTAAGTTACAATACGTTAGCAATGTGTCAAATATTTCCAACTTGGATTTTTGTGATCCTGGTATAACAAAAAGTGAAAAAGTAGGGGTCATTTTCCCAAAGTATTTGATACAATTACACTGAATCCGGTAATCTAGTCTGACTGTTTTTGATTCGGTCTAGAGTTGCGAGAACTAAATATCGCGCCGAGATAATAAATAGTGTCGTGTGCTTTTCCTAGTAAAATTTGCGAAAAGAGGCGTATTCTGAACGCCCCGTTACGAGTGCGAAATCATTGATAAAAAAATTTGAACTAGTTTCAAGGTGGGACTGTAGTTGCCCCTAATGTTTGTATTTGGGAACGTAAAAAAATTAAACCGCAAGTTTCGTTAATTGCTGCAAAAATATAGATTATCGTTTAAAAATTGAAAGTAATTTACAAATAATTAAGCTATTGTTGAAACTGCTGTCCAAACGTTTATTGCCGTGCTGTGAACCTTTACAGAAGGGCTCTCGTCGTAAATCTATGTAGAATGGGCCTGCCCTTCGTCAAGTTGAAACCAGTAGTTTTCCTTAGGTAATGTTTCCAAGCATGGTACAATCTCATCTACTAACGCGTTTATTTCAAGGCCTCCTAAGAAAATTATGCATACAACGGTCACAATTTTAGAAGATCTTAAATAACACGAAAAGCATAACAGATAGGTAGGTATAGGGAATGTAATAATTGATAGATATAGAATTTTTTTCGAAAATTCAAAAAATCAGGCAGGTTTCATTTGAAAAATCAACTTTCAAGTTATTAAGTTTTACCATTAGTTTTAAAACACCCTGTAGATGGGCGATCCAAATTTAAATCATTCGTATGTAGCATCACGTCAGTATATTAGATTTTGGAAGACTTTTTGAAATTCAAGTCAACGGAGCTATAGGTACAAGGCGCTAAAGAAAAGCAGTCAAATGTCAAAAATTTTAAAAAACTTTGAATAACTTGAAAACCTTTAGGAAATGTGGTATGTGGTATCAAACGACGTAGATTTTCATGTAGATTCCGAAAATATAATAAAATATAGGGTGTTCTATTTAAAATAAGAAAGTTGCTATCCATATCTGGTAAAACCCGAAGTGAAACGATCATGATAATATTTTCTTTCGATAGATCATGAAAAATGCAAATTTTCAGATGGGAGTCTGAATACTTTTATGTTATTCATGTTAAAAGTATTCCGGACACCGGACAAACACACATTTTTGGTTGCATTATGCATACGTATTTGATCAGCTGCTAGGACACTCTGCGACTCTTTTTCTAGATCAATAGGGGAGGGGGGTAGTTGGAGAGATTGGTTTTATAAAGAAGTTTTCAGCCTTCGTTGGGATAAAGCTAAAGGCCGAAAAAATGCTTGTCAAATCGATATAGAAATGGGGTCCTGCTCGGTCCCTTATTCATAGGTACCCTAAGGGCGGTAAAATATTCCTAGAGCTAGCCGAAGGCTACACAATAGTTATACGTACTAAAGAAATTTTGAATTTACTTAGACATTCCCCCCTTCACATGCCGAAAGCCCATTCCACCAGTGGATTGGAACAATAATCATCAAGTTGATATGGGATGAATTTTCTTAAAGGGGAAAATATTTCATATATGCATCCTCAGTGAGTGAATCCATCAGGAACAATTAGTTAGAAATATTCTGGAGGCGAATTTTACCTGGAGGAGAATTTTCTCAGGGCGGCTTGAACGAATATTACGATTGTGAATCCTGGGGGCCAGTTTAACCCATCCATCTTAAAAAGTAGAGCATAAAATCTATCGGAACTCAGATTAGAATTTCGCGCATAAATTTTTAGTGTTTTTTTGCAGTATTGAACTGACGGTGTCAATTTTGATAGTTATTTCTTCCTGCAATCAAGAAACCGATGTGTTAGAGTTAGGCGGTGCATTTCGGCCAGTTCTGTGCCTTCTTGAATTTTTGTGAGAACCTGGTATTTATTTAAAAATAAATTCGTATCAGGAGAAAATAACAGAACAACAGAAATTATAGTTCTTACACAATATATTAATGAAGTAGAAGATTAATCGGTCTATGGGTAAATAAACTCTCTTTAAAAGTTACCGCCTTTCCCTATAGGGAAATTTCTTTCCATGCTTTTTGCAGACGTTTCCCTGCTTTCTGTCCCTAATAGTGAAATGAGTCAATGAAAAGTTGCTTTACTTCAATAAAATGTTACATTTCGCATTAGTTGGTCTTGGTGGTCACTAGGTATTGAGATGTATTATTACCGTTTTCAAATTTTATGCCCATGCAGGTGCATAATGCAATTGCACAAGGGATGTTGACGTGCTTGAAAAATTTCCGACTTAATCCTCGACTTAACCATTATATCGTGCTACATCCATTACCGTCAAACACCACTACTAGCATATAGTTACTGACATTATAAAAGCCGCAAGTATTCGTTAAACCGTTATTAATGCTCTACGTTTTGATACATTTAAATTACTACATCGTGGTTAAATCCATTTGAATCTGTCCCCTTAGTTTGAAAGGTATCTCGTTAAATTTGGGTCTTGGATTTATCATTTTGCACTATGCTGTTTATCTACCTACT